CTCTTAATATCCCTAATGTAAATAATGTACGGTGTACCGTACATAAAGGAGAATGCATATTTTTGGGAAAATGCTTTATGTACGGTGTACCGTACATATAGGCTCATTTTAGACCTTCTTTGAACCATTCTATCTTATAGACAAGTGTAGTATTCCTATTTGCAAGTGCATAGGCTGGAAGCGTGGGCTGTGGAGAGCATCCCACCTGTTCATTTTTTGTTCAAGTTCAATACCGACTGAATGAATCTCCTCGTGACCCTAACACATACCAACCACCCTTCCCCACTCGAAATCTGTCCGACAGACCTTGAAACCTCAGCCAAAACCCTGCCCCAGCAATCTCATGATGCCATCGTCGCCGCTAGAGCCACTTGACGGAGGTGACGGCCCAATCCTACAAACCCCCTTGCATCTGCCACTCCCATCCGTCACAGGCATCGAAGATGGCTCAATCTTTCAAAACTTCCATCCTCTACCACCTTCTCCCCCTCTACCACCCACTCCTCCTCTACCACCCACTCCCTACACAGGCACAACGCATCAACCCGTTGGTGACGGTAACACACACGTGCCCACTCTAAGCGCACAACAGAGCTCACAACCAAGCACTGTCCTTGGGCATTCTCAAGGGGGACAGGCGTCTACGCGCGGTCGCCCTCGCGGGAGAAGGGGCAGAGAGGGACGTGGAAGTCGATCATGGGCACAGAGAAGAACACACGACTACACGGAGGGATGGAGAATTCAAACGGTTCGAGACCAAGCTGTAAAACTCGAACATGACTTTATTACGGACGTGCTTTCCGAAAGAGCTCGGCTATTTACAAGAGCAGCCATCGAAAGAATGAAGACGGAACTACAAGTAAGACTGCTATTGCATTCGCGATCAAGCTACATAGTTATTTTCTGTGATGAACTAGTGCGAAAATGTAACCTCTGGACAAACGAGCGCATTGTAATTAACAACTGCGGGCTTGGTCAACTTCACCGTGCAGACATGTATTCTTTCTTAGCAGTGTTCTTTTTATCGCAGTGCTCTGGGTTCAGCATCTCTAAGACACTCGAATTGCTTCATAAGATGGACTGTCTTGTACCACCATTATCTCTAGTTCGCTATTTATCCGGAAATATTCTTGCTTCTCTTCTACAGGACGTGGCGATACTGGCGAGAGTGTTTGGTGCTCCCAAAGAGATCAAACCGTCAGACTCTCAGAGCTTGAGATGGCGGCGTACAGTATGTCATGCAAAGTATTTCTTTCTCCGTCGTATACCTTTGCAACACTTGATGATGACCTGTATGGGACCAGGGCAAGTGACAACCAGGTTAAAACTATTAGCATGAGGAAAGCCGACAAAGAGGGGCACTGCGTAGATGCCATTGCAGATGCTTTATTTAGAATTACCTTTATGGTTCGCTTTCGACGTCGCGGAGAGTCACAGACAAACAGCGTTGAAAAACTCGTCAACGCAGTGGTCGACGCTCGCGGGGAGGAGTCTTTATCTGGGTTTGTGATAACAGCCGACCGCGGGTATGGGAAAATGAGTATGATACCTAGTCTTGCCAAGAGAGGCATTGGCTTTATGTTTATAATGCCTGAACATCTGTTAAGATGTCATCCATTCGTTGGAGCCTCGCAATTCGATCCTGCAAAAGATGACGTGGAACAGAGCGAATTTGACAATGATATCGAACAGGCCCGCCCATCAGATAATCGCTTTATCTATGATCGCGAGAATGCCTTTGTAATTGACGACAGTCCCCAAATGGGAAGTCTTTGCAAGTACGCCCAGAAAACGTTTAAAGATGATGGTTTGAATGTTCGAGTGACGGCTGTAGTAATACGGGAAAGGGGGACGAAGAACTTTTCAAAGACGCTCCGCTTCGTTTACGCTCTGCCAGGAAGTTTGTCCAATTTAATCAATTGTTGAGTGGCTGTTACTCGGGCCCTATCGCAGGCTGATGTTCTATTTACGAATAGAACAAATGAGGGCAAGCTAGTGGTACCGCCGACTAACTCCAATGACAGTCGAGATACCATTGAACTGTACTGCTTAAACAATGCAGTAATTTTAACCGTGGACCAGAGGTGTGCGGACTGGTTCGTGCTTAGGCAGTTCCGAATAACTGGGACAGTTGCTGGGATTTTGTTAATGAATAATTCCGAGATCCTCACACGACTTGGTGTTGCAGATGTACAATGCAACGAGAGAACAGTGGCAGAGACTTTTAAACTTTTGGCGGCAAGCTGGCTTAGCACTTCGCGTTCTACGGAAGCGATGCTGCGTGGTACGGTTACAGAAAATGCTGCTGTTAATGCCTTAAGAGCCAAACATTTCATTAGGGCTGTTTATCACTGTGGCATGTTTGGGGATAAGGAAAAAGAATGGCTAGCCTGCTCGCCAGATGGCATGGCACTCATCGATGTGAACCAAACTGCGTTCAACACCTCAAATAATCCCGAACCGTCGATACATGTGTGTACTGTAGAAATTAAGACGAGCGTTGCAGACTCAACTCTTTCAAGGGCTGTTGCTGACGCTTCAGTAGACCTACTATGCCTTGAAATGGGCACACAGGCATTTTTAGAACATATACCTCACTGCCACATTGGGCAGCTGCTACAGCAGCTAATCGTGCTTCGCGTCAGTTACGTCTTGTATATTTCCTGCTCCGAAGCAGCACTCCTGTCCTGCAATTTGATCAAGGCACCTTCAGAATTGATCCAAGAAGCAAGGACTGTTTTAGAGGATAATGGAAATAAGTTACTGAATTGGGCATTTGATCCGCTAGAACTGTTCCCGGCATTTGTGGCATCGGAAACTAAGAGGGTATTGAAGTCTAGACTACATTTATGAAGGGCTATCAACACGAGCGTCCAGAATCTGCAACCTTTTGTTCCCTTGAAAATTTTCAAGCACGGTGTACAGAGCTTTTATTCGAAGACGAAAGGAGGCGTAGATGGCGGTGCACAAGCGCGTGCCATGTTACGTAGTCCGTCAGCCACATTCAAGTGGGAACAAAAGGTTGTGGGACAAACACTGAAGACTTTGTTTGTGAATTCATTTATAGCGTACAGAATGAATGAAAGACGTGACCTTACCGCAGACCCTTGTCGCTTCCAAAGTCTCCATGCTTTTCGACAAGCTCTAAATAATGTGGAATCTCTATCTGATTTTTGTCTGGAAGCGTGTACAGAGTTGTTGAGATTTGCTGACAAATTACGGAGGAATTCGTCTATGGTAGAAGAGACAGTTCCTGCTGCTCTGAATGACGGTGAGATAAACCGATTGCGGGTGCTCGCCAGCATCGGAAACGAAACCGTTTACTATTTTTAATAGCCCTGACGGCATCCAGTTACGGCTGAACGTACCAGGACATGGACAAAGGAAAATTCGTTCGGAAAGGTGGTGTGCTTTATGTGGGATGAACGTGAAGGGAAATAGCAAATATAGAGGACATCGTTCCTCCTTTAAGTGTACGCATTGTGAGACACATTTGTGTGTCAGAACCTATCCCGGTACACGGCGCTCTTGCTGGGACATGTGGCATTCGAGGAAGCGACTAGAGCAGCGCGAAACGGAAGCCAGAATAAGTGTATCTCGGGAAAGGTCTGAATGTTCTTCCCAAGCCTCTGATTGTCTGGAGGAAAATTCCGGGTCTCAGCGTCGCGGTGCAGCACGGAAACGAGGTTCCAGTGACTCAGAAAGGCAAAGGACGAGGTCTGTGAGAAGGCGGTTGTCATTATAGCTATGAATGAGTAGTTAGAATAGCCCTGTATGTACGGTACACCCTACATAACGCAATTTACTGGCATCATCGTGGTCCGAAAGTAGCAATTTTTCGAGCGATGTAAAAGGGGGTTGTAATTGTTCAACTTCGCTGAAACTTGGTAGACGCACTCTCCGGGCCGTTGGGTATCTCTCTATGTGATTGGTTTGGCAGGTTCAAATCAACGGACGTACTTTCGACGCCCCAAAGTTAATGTACGGTGTACCGTACATTAAAACATCACATTAGGGATATAGACTGCCTATCTAGAAACACCACCACCTGTACACACAGCACCCAGCCTTTTGTCCCAGCTACGCCATTTCATCGCTCTTAGAGAAACCCTCTATTGCAACTTCGATCAAATCCTCGGAAGCATCTTCGGAAGTACCCCCGCCAGTGCCCTCGGAATTGCCTTTGGTCGAAGCCTCAGTGGAACCCTGGGTCGAGCCCTCTCCCGTCGTCGAGTTGTCATCACCCTCTCTCCTCTTTGCTTTGTTCACCCTCTCCGCCTCCTGCGGGTCCAGCACCATTTCTAAAAAGATTACGAAGCACGCCACGAAAGCCAGTATGAAGAAAACCTGCAGCTTGGTCAGCGTCAGGCTCAGATGGCTGTCCTTTGGACACTGCCCGATCGACTTGACATAATTCTCTGGCCTTGGGAGCAACCCCGATCGCTGCATGTCCAGCGTTGCGTTGCTCATCATTTCCGTGTACTTGGAGCCACGCGGAAGAAGGAACGACAGTCCACCCAGGAAGCAAGGCTCGCCCGTTGACACTACCTTCTGGCAGTACCTTCCGTGGGCAAGACTCATGCCCGTGGCAGTGAGACCGATCATAAATTTGCACTTTTTCTTGTACAACCTCTTGGCGCCTTTTTCGTATGATGAAACCAGCATCGGAGTGTGACCCTTGTGACAGGGACTGGCCAGGGGAATGGGAAGTGTAGTTGTTAGCAACCACTATTTGAGAGAAACACGGAGGTAACGAGGTAAGCGTGGCGTACTCTGTAGCGATAGCGTCATCCCAGAACACTTCTATGGCTCCTCCTTCTGGCACGCACACTTCAGACGGGGGTATATGGCACTTTTTCAGGTCTTCAATATTGCGATAGTCAGAAACGAGGGTATCCTGTACAAGTACCGCACTGTTAAAAACGTGGGAAGGCGTTAATTTCTTTCCGTGAGATCCTCGCTGGGAGTCTGAGGCTGCTGGCGTCTGAAGACAAAATAACTTACGTCATTGCCGCTTCGTATGTCAAAATGAGGAAAAGGCTGCATAGAGCAATGAGCAGGTTGAGAACCCATTGTCTCGAGCTCGTCTTGCCCTCGATGGGATCGTAGCCACCTTGACCGACCATACGGCTCACTAATGGAGATGGTTCGCGAAAAGTAGAAAAGTGATAGAAATGGGGAGAGAAAACTAAGTCAGAGGCAAAGAAAGAATTTGAATGAAGCCAAACTTCTTTCGACAAAGACTTACGTGTGCTTTGCAGTGCCTTTCGCAATCGATATGGTATGCGACTCTTCAACAAATAGTGCTTCATCCTGCGCACCCGAGAGGATGTTCTCGGCAGCGGCTGGTAAGATTCATCCGGGGGTACGAAGCGCCTGTCAAGCATTTTGAGAAACGTAAACACACAAACAAGCCCTACTATGAAAAACCACACAGTGGTAGAGAAAGCAGTGATGAAGAAGGCGCCCGCAGATGCTGAGGAAGTGTTATCCGTATGCACAACGATGCTCAGGCCGTCGATAGCGAACGGCGGCAGAAAATCCACTCGCCTGAAGCGCTCAGGATTCCGAAACCAACCGCCGACAGCCATTTCACACTGGCATTTTGGGTCTTGTCGAATATTCCCATCTTCTGTAGTGCACTCGTCTATATTTTTGACGATAGCGTTGAATTGCACGTCGTCCTCGTTTCTCAACTCTTTGAGAGACTCGCATCGAAATCCAAGCCTTTCTTGCAGCTGTTCAAGGTACCGAATGGCCAGTCCATCGTATCCATGAATCTGAAAGTGAGCTAACATGTGAAGGTTAGCTGTGCAAGCGTCGCCGTCACAGTGTGAATTCGCGTAGTCCGATTGGAATGAACATGGTTCCTACCTTAGCTTCGTTCCTTACGATTATTGGATTCTCTATGGCGGTGCAGCAGCGAAGATTGACCCCATCGAGATCGCGCTCCATGGCCTCAGTCGCGCAGAGGAACAGGCCGAACAATGCTGTGATGTTGACCATGGATTTGCGAAACATTGTCTTGGAATCCAATTTCGACATAATAGAGTTTCAGTGCACACATTCAACTGCTACGGGATTGCAAGTTGATGCAAACTGTACATATATATACCATGCGGTGCTGCAGAATGTTAGGACGAAAGGCTTTATTTTATAAACAGAATCTGCTTCCTCTTGCGTCGACAGAACAACTGTTCATAGGAAAGGCAATAACAGTGTTTATTCTGTGCGGAAGATTGAGTGAGAGTTTTTAATCAGAAGACGGACTGCGCTTGCGTCTTGACCAAGGCCCCTGTAATGGGCGGTGTGACGCTTCTTTCCTACAGTACGCCAGTTTCTAAGACGAAAGTTGGTAAGTTCACCGTGAAGTGACTGCCCTCAGGTGGGTCATCATCCCGAGGAGTGACGTGGTCTGCAAACTTTTTTCTATGATCGGCTAGTGTCGAAGCTAATAGGAACCTTGTATGCTCGCGCCCGTGACCAAGATATGGAGTAGGCAAAACTTTTTCGTCTAAGCAAAGGTACTAGGGGTGGATTCTATGGGCACGGGCACCATGAGACTGTATCCTTTCATCAACGCGGTAACGTATGGTATATTCGTTCTGCATGGTGTCTTCTTCGCAGCAAGGAGCTCTACCTGAAGCATGAGAGCAGAGTTCTTCCGCACCACACCTGAACAGGGCAATATGCCCCTCATGGACAGACTGCAATCCAGCAATGTGGCTATTTGGGCTAATGTATCTCACAGAACGGTAAATTACTTGTCCGAGGGCTCGGCTCTAGGGATACAAATTCGTCCAGCATGCTTTCAAACGCGACGTCACCATGCAATAGAGATCAGTTTCTATGACAGCAAGGACGCTGGAAGCACGCACCAGGAGGCAACTCCTAAATCTCAACAATCTCGGCTCTTGCGACCAATCCCCTATCTGTGCTTCGGGCATGTGTCCATAGTGGTAAGCACGGGGGGGAAGTGGCTGTAGGCCGTCCTTCCCGCTCTGTTTCGGACGAGTCTCCATAGTGAACGGTTGACGTGTGATGATGGAGGAAAGGCCAAAACTCTGCGCACTGCTGTGCGGGATAATTGTGCCAGCACGGCGCAAATATTATTCATTGCTGGTGCGCATGGCTTCTGCTCGCATGCACGCACGTGCAGGCCCTGATGCCCTCGAGTGGCTAGGCAATTTTTTTGTTTTTTTCTCGAGTACAACAAAGGCGTGGATGGCGACTTTCGAGGCACTTTGCCTGTCTCGGGATTTATTCTTCTTCTCTCCAACAAATTCAAACCGCCAACTGCTTACAAGTATAGGGCGCTTCCTTTACGTGGAGGGCATGTTTGCGCGCTAGGTAAGCCTACAAGGCAAGAAGAAGATTAGGCTGCGTCAGCAAGTTTGAAAGATACAATCGCATTCCTTCTATTTCATTGTGCTGGAAGTCATGGATGCTGTCTCGAGATCCAGACGTCCTTCCCTTGTCATGGGGCCCAGTTGCTGCATACTTGCTGTAGCAAATGGAATGTATGTATCGTTCGATTGAAGGTGGAATAAAGACAGTATGAACTTCGGACAGCTTCCAAAACTGAGCCGAGGCTGTGAGTGCGCAGCTCTGTTCTCACAAAACCGAGTCTGATTAATGGGTTTGGCGAAACGGCAATGAGCATTTCAATATGTAAAGGTTTTACGAGTACACCCAGCCGAAAAACGGACTGGCGAGACGACGTGATAAGTACTTGTCGTGTTGTTAAACTATCAAGATGATCCGTCTTCTTCTCTTTTCAAGGGACTTTTTATCTGTTTTTGAGTGAAAACGATAGCCAGATATATCACAGTCGGGTCTCAGATTCTGTTGGCAACTATTTGCAAAACAAACAGCTACAAAAACCTGGAGGCCATGTTCATACTGCCCCATGGAGATTAGGTACTGTGTTGGAAGGAGGAGGGGCTGAGGAAAACGACTAAACTGCTGACACGCCAGCCGGAAGCATGTCGTTCGGCATCACTCGTGGCAGAATACTGTATGTCTCCGCTCTAGGCCGTTGATGCTCACCTCGACTGCGCTTTCAACGTGGAGCAGATCAGGGAAGCCGCCGTACCTTTCGCAACAGAATCAATGGTGCAACAAAATTCCATTGGTTAAACCGGCCACGTACAACAGACTCGGGGAAAATACGAACACACGATAGACTATGGTAGACTCCTGCATCGTGAGCAGTCTCACTCCGATTTCATGCGCACTCGTCATCGGGGAAACTAATTTTAAATGCGGATTCAGTAGGTCACGAAGGCAGTTACGCGGGAATTGTACAAAGACTCGCTTTATGCGCATTTACTGACCGTGTCCTGATAGTGCAGTTCTCTCAGGACATTTGTTACCAAAAGCGCATTCATTAAGGTTGTCCGTAAAATAACGCGTTGTGTTTTTCCATTTGCCCACGAAGTCGCTGGACGCAAACCCGAGATTAATCAATTCCACCACGAGTTTTGCGGACTGACCTCCAGCAAGGTACCTGCCCGCAACAAACGCAAGTCCGGTACATCGTTGTGCCGCCCGACGGATCACGTGCACCTGGGCGAATACTCGCTGAAAGCGAATATTGTTGCTCGCCACAAGGATAGAATGGTTCTGAGTCGACAGAGCGATGTGTTTCGTCTTCGTGAAAGGCTGACGGGGGCCGTTTGGAGAGGACTGCTTTTTAGAAGCTTCTACAGTACTTATCTATCTTTCGCGGTTGCTTCGGCGGCATCTGTGGCAGATCTTGTCGCGCTTTGATCCATTGATGAACTCTGCGCAGATGAAGCGATAGGGGCATCCATGACGCATATCGATACGACCAGTGTAGTCTGAGACTCATTTGTGCTGATGAAAAGAACGGAAGACCCACTTTGTTTTCCTTCAAGACGGGTCGATCCGGCACTGCTGTGATGAGGCGGATGTGAAACTCGTGGAAAACTCACATGCCCCGAGTATTCGTTACAGGTATGCTGTGAGTTTTGCCAAGCGCGTTCTTTGAAAAATTTGCGTTCGGAAAATCTGAGCAAACTCACCGCCAAAACACGAGTTTTCGTGACTTTACGGAAAACCTTATTGAGTCAAATATTTCTAAACTTTGTAAGTTTGTACAAAACGACGAAAGTTCGGCAACGATCCTATCATACCTCATACTGTACCGCAAAATCGGTATGGTTCCTTACAAGTTGTAAGCGTCGTATTAAATATTAGAGACAATGGGGAAACTATGGCACATTTGGGATTCTTAATTCCATTTAGGAGGTTCACATCACACCCTTCTCGATAATGCAAGACTGAGTCTGTTGGCTCAGGGTGACATCAGCCTGCATTCATCCCCTTCTCGCTCTATGCAATCTCCCCATCATATCGCGGATCACCGCACTTGCATTTGTCCACACGCAGGTGCTCCGTGACCCGTCTGCTACTCTGATGCGTATCACAGCTGTCTTCATATTACACGTCTGACAACTGTAAGGTATCTGCGCCGCACTGGATTCATCCCCTCGTCGTCGCACCTGCCCTTCTCCCTGCTGGACTGTACAGTGTGGCGGCCTTTTTCAGTCGGCACCACAAGAGGCTTCGTTGAGCACAACTCCTGCCTCAGAGTGATGAGGGATGCCCATCCGACATCAGCGCGGCATCCTGTTGCATACATTCATCCTTTCAATGTCAAGTCAAGTTTTTCCGTTCTAGCGCGCCAGAACCAGTTGTCACCTGCCTTGGCTGTTCGTGCTCGACAAATTGCGATGACCGGCCTTTGTCATTCACCCCGATATTCAGTTGCGCCTATGATGGAAGTCACGGACCGTCACTTTAGAACACTTTCACGCCTGATTAGTCGAGATGCTGTGCTCTACACAGAAATGGTCGTGGATCGTACACTGATTTACAATGAACAACTTAGAGAATACGCGTTGAGGATTCCGCCACTGCCCAATTCGTCCTCTTCGCAACATCCCGTCGTGCTTCAATTAGGCGGCTCTGTCCCCGACGAGCTTGAAGCTGCAGCTCGAATCGCCGCAAAGTATGGGTACAGTGAGGTCAATTTGAATTGCGGTTGTCCATCACCAAAAGTTGCTGGCAAAGGTTGTTTTGGAGCTGCGTTGATGCGTGCGCCAGAAGTCGTTGCGGAAGCGACGAAAAAGATGGCTGCTGTTTTGCCGGAGACCACCCCTGTAACAGTGAAATGTCGTATTGGCGTAGACGACTTGGATTCCTATGACTTCTTACGCAACTTTGTTGAAATTGTTCACCAACGGGGCGGGGTCAAGCATTTCATCATTCACGCAAGGAAAGCGATTCTTGGGGGCCTTTCCCCAGCGCAGAACCGCTCAGTCCCACCCTTAAAATATGGGTATGTTCACAGACTCCTGCAAGACTTTCCTGACGTAACTTTCACCATAAATGGGGGATTTAAGACTCTATCTGCTGTGCAGGAACAACTTGACGTTGGCGTCCATGGTGTCATGGTTGGTCGGGAAGTAATGGACAAGCCGTGGCATGCGCTTTGTGATGTGGATCGCCTGTTTTTTGGTCGTAATTGCACACCGGATGATGGGACAATTCTCACTCGTCGAGGTGTACTTCGCGACTACACTGCATATGCCGAGAACGAAATTGAGCGGACTGGTTGTTCTATTCGGGCTGTGGTCAAGCCACTTTTACAATTATTTCATGGGGAACCGAACGGCAAAATATATCGGCGAGCTATCGACGAGTGTCTCCGGGACCCAGCCCTCTCTGTCGGAGATATTATAAATCGCGCTTCCTCCGTACTGTCAGATGATGTTCTTGATGCACCGCCTCCTTCAGCCGTCGCACATCTTGATAAGAGTGTAGCAGATGATGTACAGGTATGTGTACCTAACGGCAATACCGCGAATAGAACAGTGTCATGCTAAAGAGAGTAGGATTCTTACACACTTTGACCATCAGTGCGAGGCAGCCTTTGAACATCGACAAGAGGGCCTCTGATTATTGCGTGGGATTTCTGGAGTTTGAACAATATACAAGAGGAGAAGAATATCAGCATGGCTCCGTAATGTCAAAACAATACAATGCAAACCCTCAGCATGGCACATCAGTGCCTATGTGGCAACGAAATAGGTAATTTTGGAATTGCGGACCGTTGCCTAGGGAGGGGCAGAGGCTGTCCGATGGAGAGTAGGCATGAGAATAAGAATATGTTTGCACGGTGCGAAAGGACATCAAAAGGGGGGCCGAGCCTCAAGGTTTGGATGAACAGGACGTGTGCCAGGAAGAGCACGGTAAACTGTTCTTGAAGGTGACGGATGGTGCGACATCTGCATCCGACTGCAACGGTTATTGTTGGGACGCGATGGTTGGGCGTGCAGTTTGTGTGCCATGTCATAGCAGCGTGCTCTCCCCTCGTGACGAAGAATTTTGAATTTTCGAGTCGTTTTCAATCGAATTTTGTGGCTTGCCGCATTTTGGAGCGTCCCGCCCGTGTGCTTTTCACAAAACAGCTCCTGTACATTTTATAGCTCTGTACGATGCAACACTCGACAGGATCACATTCGTCCGGCACTGCTTTACAAGTCCCTTTCTCAAACCACAGCGCGACTTTTTCTGTCCTTTCATCTGCAACACGCGACTTATCTGGACCAGCAACATTAGGTCTTCCTAAGAGGACTGGAAACCATCCGCATTGGTAAACGCAACGCTTTTTTCAGAAGGCTGAGGTTTCTAGTTATAACCCCTTGAAATGGCTCCTGCCGAGTCCATTAAGCGACGCGAGCCATCGCGAAGCGTTGAATTAAGAACATGGTTTATCGAACCTGTGTTTGATTCAGATCGTAACCTATCGACGGGTCTGATCCGTGTGTGGGGCAAGATCAGAGTTTCGCGACATCCCACCAAGTGGTGGCGCTCCTCTTCTATTCGCCAGCGGGTATCTTTCAACAAGCTTAAGACTAGGTACGGCACGTGCGTAAACCTAAAAGGAGGCATTTCCAAAAGGTATGCAAACAAACTGCGGATGCACGCGGATGCAATTCAATGTTTTCGGGATGGGTTCCCGGCTACCTGGAGGAAACTTTTGGGACAGTCGTTCACTCCTGAAATCCTTCGCGAAAGCAATGAGCGCGCGAATATTCGGAGGAGCAGTCGACCTTGCAATCGTTCAAACATCAATGTGGGAGAGCAGGAACGCTCGCCTGCCGAGGAGAAAAATCCCAAACCACCTGTGCAAAAGAAATTAAGGCGAAGCAGTAGGCGGGCATCGCAGGTGGTTAGACCGAGAGCCAAGGATCAACAAGAACAAACTTGGAAGGCTAGCCCAGCGATACGGGAAAGACCAAGAAGAGCGAAGGCGAAAATGTCGAACGTGGAGGCAGAGGGCGCTATAGCGCAGGGGACTCTCGCGCGAAATCTACGCGGAGCTAAAGATGCGAAGCAAGCACGAAGAGCAAGGCGTGTTGCGTTTGCAGTCTCACCGATGGGAGCGACGGGGCCGGTAGCATCAATGCCACATGAAGCGGATAGGGCGACGGGCGGGAAGAAACCAACGGCAAGGATGAAAGGCAGTCCGAAACCGCGGTGGTCTGCCGCTCAGCGTGAAGAGTTTGACCGTCAGCGTAACTCGGTGGCGGCGGACGCGAGCAACTACTGGGAGGTGATAGCCAGCGGGGTGCGCGGCAAAACTGGGGAAGAGTGCCGATTATTGTGGGAGTCGTCTTGGGCGTCTCCGCAGGCGAGCGGGCGCAAGCGGGAGGCGGTGGGGCTGTCGAAACGGCCCGAGGAGATGATGCTGGAGATGCAGAACGCGGCCAAGAGCAAGCGGGGGCGGAACACAGCTAAGTTTCGGAGACAGGCAAGGGAACTCGCTGAACTCGTGTCGGCCGGGACACTGGATACGGTGCTGGAGCCGTGCGTGCCGGGGGCAGCGGCGGCGAGGGACGTGGTGGTGACGCCGCGACTGCAAGGGATTGGGGTCGCGTGTAAGGGCACGCCTGGGACAGAGGTGCGGCAACTGCGGGAGCGGAACGAGAGGGCGGCGACGGCGACGACGCCGGAGATTTTGTCGAGGGGCAGGAAGATTGGATTCGCGGAGGCAGATCAGTATGTGTCATTGTTTAAAAGACGGGCTGGTAAGGGCGGGGAGAAGGCGTATGGTGGAGAGCTGGATGAAGGAAGCGGGAAAGGGGGTGGGGGAGACGAGGGGGTGCGAGAGTTGGCGGCGGTAGAAGACGACAAAGGCTGCTCTTCGGATGATTCAGATGATAGCTGTCCTTTCTTTTAATAATAATATTGCGTACCATACGGTCCGCACGGACCGTACACATGTAACAGAAGAGTCTCTATCGACAACTACGATAGGCTGTGTGTATATGTGTGTATACTTGCTCCTTACTTTTTAGACCTCGGCAGTCTTTCATTGAAGAGATTCGCGAGCAGAAAGAAGTCGTTCATGCCTTCGCAAGCAAGTGCATGTGACACAAGGGCCTCTGGGAGGTCCAATTTTCTGCTGCCAACTTTCCCTGTTGCAAGCGACTTCTCTCACTGCTCCCTGCACGATCACACCTCCAGAACTGCGCCTGTCGAATTCGTCGTCTACGCAAACTGCTGTACCCTTGAAAGGGTACCTTCAGGTACCGTTGGGTACCGTACTTCTTCTACTGAAGACGCCTACGGCACCGCATGGCACCTCAGGACTGAGCACTGGTTTTGAAGACTGACTGTATATCTCCACGTGGCCACATCGAGCCCAGTTGTTCGTTGCCCTGGTTCATTACAGTCACAAATGCTGTAAACTCCATGCAACGTGGACCCGGAATTCTATCCCTGTTTCGCAAAGACGTCACAGTTTCAGCACCTCTGCCAGCCACCCTCCTCATTTCACAAGGTGGAGCCCCGCCTGACCGACCCCTCCGCATTTGTTCTAAACTATCCCCCACTGTTGCTCGCTCGTCCTTTTCCAACAAAGTCTCCACGCACAAGTCAAACAAATTCCCACCCCACAACTCTGACCTCCCCCTTTCTTCCCCCCACCTTCCTCAACTGACCCGCATGCACACCACATCTGCATGTATCCCTCGCACATCCTCTTTTTCTAACCATTAACCCCCTTATTCTGTCGAGATGCCGACCTCAGGCCAGGACCAATACGACAGGTTCAGCCTTGGAATATCCCGCGTCCTAACTCCAGTCATGATATGCATGGCCCTCTCGGTCTGGTTTGTCCAGAGTCTAGGGGATCCCAAAAGCTGCAAGCGATTAGGAAACGGCCGCAAAATCGCCGCAATTGCTCTCTCTCCCGTTGATGATTCCAACTCATCCGAAAACGACTCGCAGTATTCCTCGCGCATGGCCGGTATCTTCATCGCCATCTTCATCGTTCTCATGGTCGTCTTCACTTTTTTGCTAGTCTGGCTGTATAAGACAGGTCGCTCCAAATATATTGTCGTCTGGCTAATGGTTGCCGTGTTCTTGATATTTGCATACGTTGGCGGATTGTATATATTTGACTTTTGCCGATCTCGTTGTATTAACATGGATTGGATAACAATATGTCTCGCAGTTTGGAACTTTACAATAACTGGCCTTTTTGCCGTCTTTGGTGTCGTCCCTCGTGTCATCAACCAGGGCTATCTCATCGTCATGTCATCCCTCATGGCCTACATCTTTCGTACCCTCCCATCCTGGGCAATCTGGACCATCCTTGCGGCCTTGGTCGTCTGGGATTTATTTGCCGTTCTTAACCCACGGGGACCTCTGAAAATGCTTGTTGAGGCAGCACGCGAGCGAGATGAGCCATTACCGGCTCTTGTCTACGATACCAATCCTATGGATATTGGACGCGACGAATCTGCGCAACCTACCATTGTTTTGAATAGCAAGAAAAAAGCCAAACAAGCCAAACAATCGAAGCAGACAAATCAAACCGCACGAGAAAAGCCTCCTCGACGACGCATAGTCAACCGTCGGCAAAATGATGCAAGCAGTGCTAGCACTCAACAGCCTACCGAAACCACAAGTGAAACTGTTGACGAATCTTCAAACCGAGGGCCCAGGGCCACTACGAACACAGACAGTCGCAACAACACTGATCGCCCCGCGACCAGTACTTCCATTGCCGTTTCACCCCCAGGCGACGCGGGCAAAAGGGAAGACGGCGCAAGCAGCAGCGGGAATGACGGTACGAATGGAACTGGGAACGACGCGAACGAGTTAATCAACGATTCCACACGTGAAAATCAGCGCACGCAGAGGTTTCGTTTTCTATTGAAGAGGGGAAGAGCCAATGTGACCGATGCTACAGCAGGGGATGGAAACGGACAGACAACAGCTACAAGCCAAGAGCGCAATGCAGCTCAGGAAAATGAAACTGAAGAACTTAGACTCGGAACCATGGGGGCACATCTTAAACTTGGGCTGGGCGATTTTGTGTTTTATTCGATTCTGGTTTCCCAAGCTAGTCAATCCGGTGCTATGACGACGGTCGCAAGTTTTGTGGCTATTTTGGCCGGCCTCTGTGCAACATTGTTCCTGGTCACTATTTACAAAAAGGCACTGCCAGCTCTACCGATATCGATTTCCGTGGGGTTGTTGTTCTACTTTCTGACCAGATTTACTGTGCAACCTTTCATAGAGAACATGGTACCTGAGCTGTTGTTTTACTAAGAAGGGCGAAAGTCAATAGAATATGAGGCGGAACAGGTGGGAGAATGTGGGGGAAGCATTCAGCAAAACCTCGAATAGAGGCGTGGATGTAATAATGCAGCTCTCCTTAAATCTCCTGACCAAAATTGGCCAGGCGCAAGTTCAATAAACCTGAAGTTTTAACTGCGGAGTGTTCGTTGTGAAAAATGGTTCGAGAGGTATTCGAAGAGTTCGTCCTGGTTGGCGACATGGAGTAGTTAGGAACAGTAGCATGTCCTCATCGAAAGTAAAGCATGAAATACCTATGTTAACCCGTGCCTATGATGATGAATTCGCTGACAAGTGAATCGAGAGATGCGCAGCACTCATGGGATGGAAAACACGCTCTTTTTGTCCATGACAGCTTATGTCTCTTGTGACATGTTGTGTTGAGGTGAACCACATCGCTAACAATGTCAGCAACTGTCTATGTACTGTGCCTATCACGATCGTATTGCGCCCGGATTGCCAATAATACTGGGACCACAAGCTAATGGCAGAGCACGATTACGACTCTCAATGTTGGACTCGCACTCCCGCAACCCTCGTGATTGTAGCATTTGTCCAGCACAAGATCATCTGCAGAAGGCGAACATTACTGTAGTAAGTAGTTCCACCTTTCCCGTGTATACGGGATGCAAGACATGTCATAGATTAGTCGATTCTTCTCGACGATATTTTATTTTATACATCGCGGCGAAAACCCGCGTCAACATGCTCATTTTCGAAACTTAAACGGCATGGAATATCGAAATCTACGGTACTTCCTCGTCAGCAATGAGTCCACGAGCTTGTCTCATATCTGATCGAGCTGGGCCTGCGGTATTCACCTATTCCAGCGCCCGAGGAATTACGTGCGTGTTAGTTTCACTACGGTATCAGAAGGCAATAAAAGTTGTTCCCCAACCATGAATGCCTTCCCGTGCAGTTGCATTAAAGGAGAGCCGGAATTTTCCCTACTCAGCCCTTCCATGCCGGCACTTAGAACAGTCGAGAGCACGTGACCACCCCGCCATGACGGACTCTGCGGATACAAATCTCGCAAATCTGGAACACCTAAGTTAATGGGTTTTGTCCCGTAATTTCTGAGGACAATAGAGTCAGACCATATTTCTTGACTCCAACCCCGCTTTCGAATTTGATGAAGTTCGGAACCAGTTAAGAATACCGTGCGAGGTCGCGACTCCCGAACAGTACGCACGGCCTTTTCCATACACAGCATATGTTCAGAGTAGATCTCGTCAGAGTATGTGCTACTCATAGCATTTTGGGCATGCCACATTAGTGACAAAAACCGTTCATGGTTTCCCGGAATGCCATTGTGATATGGGGGATGATGCTTGCGGAACAAGTCAATTGCGGACAGGAAATCGTACCAACGATTCGCCAGGGATTTCTCAACCGGAACACTGAGAAGACCCATGATGTCGTTGATGGCCTTGTCGCAATTAAAACCGGTATAGAAGACATCAAATCGAAATCGATCGTGCATGCTCAGCGCTGGGTCGTGCTGCACATAGTCCTCCTGATCTTCAGCGAGCTCGGCGCCAACAAATGATAAATCTACTGCTACGTCCGTCAGCCAACTGCTCCATGTGTTGTGAGGTGAAGAAATCAAGGCGGGTCTGTAACCCCAAAAAGCCGAAAAAGCATTGATTCCTTCTTCCAACCAGGTCTTCAGTTCAGCCTTGTTAGAGAAGCCATTGAATTCTGAGCGGAGTTGTGTGGTATCTGTCGCACAAACGAGATTGTTCTTGAAGCATTCTTGAGTCTTGCTGTCCGTTCGCAGAAGTTTCAACCATTTTGAAACGCTAAAATGGGAACGGCCATGATACTCAGGATGCCACAAGCCCTTCTTCCATAATGATAAATACCTTTCTCTCAAATCGCCCCTGTGATAGGGGGCTTGATCTAGGCCTGTAGGGCCCGCATCACTCAAGAACTGCTCCTTGTACACGCAGGAGTCAAATTGGTCTGATACCTTGGTCGGATGTAACAGTGGATCCAGAGATCCTCTCATCGCAGCAACTGTCGAAAAAGCGCTTGCAGATGAGGAAGAGAATGCTCTGGTAGTTCTATCAGAATGTTCGCTGGGATTCGAAAATAAATCACCTGGGCGGTTCAGACTGGCTATTCCGTCGGTATCGGCGACGGTGGCATCGAAAGAACGACTCGACGGCTTGACGTCACATCCAGCAGCGCGCATTGCACCGAAATCAGGACCACCAACGATCCAGTGGGGCGTTAGGACTGCCTTCTGCTCAAAAGAAGTATTGAAATTGAGGCGGGTGAGTGCGTTCTCAAGGTTGCGAAGATCTTGATCGGTCTCAACGGTAGCGCTGCGATACCAGTAGTCGTTTCGAATAATAAGGTCTGAATGATTGGCCATAAACTTGTGTGTGGGAAACAGCGGGACAGAGTCTGTCCACCTGCCAAAGTCGTCGACGGAGAGCACGACAAATGATCTGTCTGAGACGAGGCTAGGTGGTGCTGCGCCAAGACTGAAGCCTTGCCATGGGACAAGTATTCGCAGACCAAATGCCAAAATGGACAAGAGACCAGCAAATGCAACGGTGTTGAGGAGGAACGAGCGAACACTCATAGGGAGGAACCCGCGCTTGTACACGAGACGGAAGACCATAGCAGCAGGAGATGATAGAGAATGTACGAGGAAATAGCGACAAGGGGTGCCAGTTACACGAAAAAATGTGATGGTCCAGGCGGCACAGTGGGCTGAGAAGTGGTCTGGCCGACTCCCCTCCCCACGCTAGGATGAGACAGGAAGACAGGGAAGAAATTAGAGTTCAGAGGATGTTAAAATGGAATGGAAGGAATTTGTGTAAGCGTAGGAGGCTTCCGAT